AGTTGATACGATTTCCCGCGGATTGCGTTTTATATTATAATTTCCTCGATGGAGGATTACAGCTGACAAGGAAGTAATTGAACCGAGGATTCGTAATTGTTAAATTGGAGCCATTTCTTTGAATGTTTTACGAACGCCTCTATGATTTGGTTGACAGTTTAATATGGAATATCTGTATTAAATATGACCAAGGATATGTTTCATTTGTCGAAGCCACAGTTCCGTCCTTCTCCCTTCCTTTTTGAAATCACACAGTGTAATTTGATACCATATTTTCTTGCTATAAGCATAACGACGAATGTCAATTGCCCCTTCGATATCTTCTTCATTTTGTCCAAACATTGATACCCAAAACACAGCTACATTCAAATTATTAATATAGGTAAACCGTACCAAAGGTTTTTATTTGTTTTTGTTAATAATAAACTTATTCCTTCCTTAAGCTTTTTGTATTGACTGATACAAACCTTGCGAATGTTTATTTTTTCATTCATCTCTATTGATTTAATGAAATGAAAAATATATACAGTTACAACAATGGGAAACAAACCAAAATAGGTTAGTCAGAAATTAATACAGTTCATGACAACATTTTGCATGTTTTGTATTAAAAATATTTTATCACTGGGAACACTTGGCGAAGTATATTTAAGGACGTGTTCATTCAAGTTAACTTAAAGGCAAAATCAATGTACAAAAGTTTGATGTGTTAGTTAATAGTCACTAACTCAAGCTTTCTAAATATCCTTTTCAAATGAATATTAAAATCTTATTACATTGTTTAATTATTTACATTCGTTTTAATTCACTTAAATTATATGATTTATTTCAACATCTGACTATGAAACTTAAGTAAAATTTCAGAAAAGATATATGAAGCATGGTTTCAACTTTGACATTAAGTGATAAAAAAGTGCCTCACTTCTATCATAAGAAAATACTCAGGTTTTAATAAAATCAAGATTTTAATTGAGATTAGATATATCAAGATTATTATTTGTTTTGTGTCAGTGGGAGCCCACTTGTACATTGAAAGTATAAAACACTTATTTGACAAATAAAACGATTTTTCTGTTTCAATAGTACTTGTGATTTAAACATGTTAAAAGCTGTAATATCTCCGGAGATATTATTTTCACAAAATAGTATTGTAACTATATGTATTGTTACTGTCAACAATATCACTCGATTTCAAATTATTGCTAAGAAGTAGATGTTTTATATATAGATGTCAATAATTGCTTCGTTTGGTTCAAGTGTATAAATTCAGATGTATCAAAAGATTGGAGTGACTCAAAGTCAGACAGAACTATATTAGCTTTAATAATTGTAAAGAATGACCTCTTTCATTAAACATTTCTTTATGGCGCTGTGACATACGAACATGTTCCACAAGTTTCTTTGTTCCTATAGTTGTATGACAGTCATGATCATTAACAAATAATATGGAAGAATAATCAGGTGACTCAGCAAGGAACCTTACGATTCTCCCTATAGAAGGATGGTAAGCTGTTATCCCATAAATAGTTTAGAAACATCACAATCACACCTGGCTGTTGGTAAGGGAAAGGGGAATGATCCGTATCATGTCATGTATAAGAGTAAGGGTAAGGGGAAATATCCGTATCATATCATGTTTAAGAGTAAGGGAAGGGGAACTATCCATATTATGTCATGGCAGAATGGAGAAGTCCAGGGATCATATTTATATACCAGAGTCAAACATTGGGATGATACACAGAAACAGTTGCCAACATTACATAGCATTTTAATCTCCATTGAATGTAGTGTGATGAATGGAACCATCGTTCAATGTACAATAGATACAACTGGATTATTTGGTGTATTGAATCGTCCTTAATATGAATGAAATATTTGGAACAAACAACATCATAGTTTAATGAAATATTTACATGTGTTTATACCCTACAGGTAATTATGTTAAAAGGAATTACTTCTAAAGATCAACTAAAATGTAACGATACAATTGACATGAATATAGAGAAGACATAAACCGCCAAGGCCAATGTGAAATTATATCCAAAGTCACTTTAAATGAAAATCAGTTTTAAAAATACTTGAGAATTTTCTCACAATCAAGGACATCGTAATTGCTAATTACGATGTATAAACATGACAATACTTGCAGGCACCATGGCAACTTAACATCAAAATCGGGAAAAAACATCTAAAATTTAAGTTTTTAATTATCACGTCCTTTCAGAAAGGATTAATTTCAGCGTAAGTGCACTAATCCTTTATATGTTACCGGGGAAAGTAATCTCGTATTTGACAGTACACATTCTTGGTGCCGATAGCAAATATTGTCCTCAAACTTGTTTTTTACTTTTTTACTATTACAAAAAAAAATATCTTGAGATAGCGCTTATTATTTAGATTCTCAAAATACATGGCTGTTATTCAGACTACAAAAGCTAAAGTTACAAACTTCTATACCGACTGCACATGTGTTTGAACAAGAATGTAGAATTAGTCGTCTTTGTACCAGCATTTCTTCCTTTACCTTGATGATAGCCGAGGTACAAGTGTACTTTTGTCCTAGAGTTGTAAGTTCTTTGAAAACGTCTAAAGATGATGTTTATTTGTCCGAGGAATACACTAAAATGCATAGGAATAGACTTGGGTGTTGAACTCAACATCCCCCCTTTTTTTTTAATTTCAAGCTGTTCAAGTGGTCTTAAAGATGTTTTGCTTCCATGCACTTTCTCAGAATATACCAATTGATTAATTGTTCTGAATATACCTGTAGGAATAACAGGAGGTGTTGGGTATACGTCTGTCAGACAGCAACCCAACGACACAAATAAACAAAAAAAACATCTAGAAGCAACATAGCATATTTTTACATTCAGAATTCAATTTTAAAATGTTAGGTCAGCGTACTAATTTTCGAGCTAGTTGGTGTTCTGAATGTAATTATATGAGTAAAATCATTTTTCCATGAATAAAACGAATATTTATCGATAGAAAATAATTTTTATTTTAGAGGAGATTATTTATCTGAATCTTATCATTTATGCATATTATTTTGGGAAAAATTGTTTGTCCATAAATAAAACGAAACTTATCGATAGAAATTATTTTATGTTTTAGAGGAGATTATTTAGATCAATTTCTTACTTGGGAAATAAAGATATATTGGGCGCCAACACTTTTTTTTTGATATTACACGGAATATATTAAAACTGTTAGATTTGTAGTCAATGTATTTATGTGCGTTATGTGTTTTAAAAGATTGCGCCATGATTTTATAACGGAGAGTTTAAATAGGTTGTGTAACAGTTTGGCGGTCAGTATATAAGGTAACTGCACGAGTTTCAAGTTATCGAGGATTGGGTACTGACTAAACCAGCACACGTTTTATAGTTAGAAGTTTAATTTTCTTTTACAAAAATATGTATGTATTTTTGGCATATTGTTTAAGTATCTTATCATATGACTGTTTTTATTTTGTAGATTGTTTTGTTACTGAACACGTGCAGGATTCTGCCATGCAGATTCTTTTGTGTTAATAGGGACTTTATATTTTAGTTTGGACTTTGAGGCAGAGGAGATATTTTGTATTTGAAAATAAAAGTTTGAGCTGGTCACTGCGCCATTCAGTACCCAAACGTTGTGTTTGTGTTTCATTGTATTCAGTAAGAAAAGAACATATAATTGCATGTGCTCAATTATGTTCACATGGTTTCAAAGTAGCTGGAGCATTTTAGCACATACATATTTTATGTTTGGTTAAACAAAGTGAATTAAAACATAACTACATACCCAGATCAATTATATCCTAAATTGAACGATGTTCATGTACAAGTTGCGTCCCTTGGTCGTATTATAGACTATAGCTAATGAAAGTCCAGGTGTCTCCTTGGAGCATTTTATAATAATTTATTTTTCCGATTCATGCAGAAAACATTTTTTTGCTGTTGGTAGACAAGGACATTCATGTGTGTAATCTTACCTATTGGAATGTTTCATTTGACCCTATTATAGTAAGCATTTCAGTAGGTATACATATCAGAAATATGATTATAAATAAACTCATAGATTATTTGTTTGCTTTAGCAACTACTGTATATGTAAGGTCATTTATATCATGGTTGATCATTTTAATGAGGCTATGTTGTTATCAATTTGAGGAGAAACACTTTTTTGTCTAAACACTCCATGCCTTTAGAAGATGCCTCGTATCTCCTCGTGATGGTAATCCATATAAGACAAGATAAAATAGACTTACACATTTATACTGATTGATTGCTTGATAACAGCTCAACGCCTCACCAGCACACGTGAGTTAGGTCTGGCGGATACTACTTTTAAAAAAAATAATTTTATTTCAAATTTCGTCCAAATTTTAAAAGCAATTTATATTGTTCAGCGAATCCTTAACACACAAACAATTAAATCAAAATTAAAGTGTATGCAATGCTTTTTTTTTCCTCTTTCCAATATGCTTTTTAAAAAATTCTTAACCATTATTGAATAAGAACAGTATCTGTTTTATCAACGTAATCTTTGTTCACGGTACATTGTTTTAACTTGTGACATAATGGCTTTGTTCAATATCACAAGTCGTGGTTTCTATCAATTATCTTTTCTTGCACACTGCAAATGTATTATGCAATTTAACTGAAGTACAATTGTTTCAAAATGTAGTTCAAATCAACCAATCATTCAAATAGAATGATTACACAGAATGAGTTTTCATTGAATAAGAAAAAGGCGTAATTGTTTTTGAATCTAGGATGATGTTGATACTGGGAGGGTTGTATCATAAACTTTTTGTAATATCTGTAGCAAAACATTGGGTGCACATGAACATTTTTATCAGTGTATCGTACATCTGTGCAAATGATAGCCAATTATCTATAATTAACTTAATTTTATAGTTTATCAAGGAGATAAGGATCAAATGGTATTAAATTTTTGCAAGGTAATAGTCTAAATTACAGTTTGTGACGTCAACGAGCAAGCACATATAGAACTGTTGTATGATTTTGGTCTTTTTAATTACATAAAAAGGTATGACCGACTATTTGTAAAAATACAATAAAGTAATAAATTAATCTTGTAATATTAATAAATAAGCACTGTATAAATAGTTCATTAATAATAAAACAATGATAAAAACATTACAATTAAATTTTAGAACTTAAATGCCTTTTTAGTTTTGTTATACATTATAAGGATACTAGAAGTACGTGTACATTTAGATCATGATAAATGCAGGTAAATGTGTATTGCATAAATTGTAAAAGTAAGAAATGATATAAATAACAAGTAAAATTAATCATAAGTGTGGAGGTTTCACTGATGACGGTCGCAAACGAGATCGTGTTACCTTTTCTGACATAGGTCTAATTCTAATCTTAGAAACATCTGAAATCTTACTAGAAGCTGGCCTAGAATAGCCATTTGAAAAACTGCTTCCGGACAAACTTCTATACCTGTCTGAATTTTGAACCGTAAAAGGTCTTGCACTTTGAGCTCTTAGTTTGCCTCTTATCAAATTTTCATTCTGATTTTCCATTATTCTAGCACGTGTGCGATTCAGCCACATAACATTTTTACACACTTTCGATCCGTCCTCTTGGACAGTTGGTAAAAATCCATATCGTTGATACAAATCTATTCGTGCTTTATCTAAATCTGTTATTCCAGAAACGTGGTGCCTTACAGCCTCCCAATTCATTTTTACACTCGTTGTTCGGTGTTCTACTGCAGTTTCTTTCACATGGGTTTTCAAGACGCGCCAAGATCTCTTTGCACCACCTACTGACGATACTAATTCTTTTTCCCGGGTTTCTCTAACAATTTCTTCTTGTAATTCATCTTCACTTTCGCTTTCATTTTTCTTACTGTCTGTTTCATCCTGGTCACTGTCTTGTTTTGTAGCCTGAAATAAAGCTAATGCTGTTATAGACGAAACATTAGTCAGTCGGCTGATTTTTTCTTTCAACAATGTATAACCCTTAGATACTCCGTATTCAGTATTTCCCGACATTTCTGTCATAACATCTTTAAAATCACCACTCGATTTAAAATTAGGACGAGGTTTTAATGCAAGTTTATCACTGTCATCATTAATCCGTTTTATAGAATCATCTAAACTTGACCAGTAGTTGTTGGCTTTGTTTCCAAATTTGTTGTCAACATAATCGTCCTCTTCCAGATCTGAGTCAGATATATCCTCATCAGAATAAATTTGAGAACAGACACTTTCACGCCCTCCGTCTTGTAATATCTTTTGCCTCTCTTTATATCCAAGTCTTGACGATGTATCTCGAGGTGACTGAAATTCAGATGAAAGCCTCGAAAGAGAACGACCAATTTGATCCTTCTTACTTCTACTACTGTTAATAGTTCCCGGTCTTGATTGTTTTGAATGAGCCGTTTTTGGACGTTCTTGGACAAAATTATTTAATAACAGAGAATTTTTCATTTTTTCACTCCTGAACCAAGTCCAATTCCTAGTACAAAACTCTGTTTGACCTCTTGGTATACTTTCAATAATTCTCCTCTCCAAAAAAATCGCCTTATCGTATTGATTCCATCAGTAACGCAATCATCATGTCTTATACGAGCACCTTGTTGTAGAAACGATTGCTGTTTGTTTTCGTTCGAATCACTTAAAGTGACAATAGCATTGTTAGTATTGTTATCACACAGAATTGTTCATTATATTGATTCCAAGGAACAATAAATTTCCAGATATAAATACTAATGCAATACAAACATTAGTAGAGTATATATTTTCTGTATCTGATCGTATAAATTTCTTCTTCTGTTTGACGAGAATTTAAGGTTTTATGCTTTTGTCATTAAAGAACAGAAGTCCAACCCTCTGAAAAGTTTAAATGCCAATCATTATCCGTCAATTGAAATATTTTCTACCCATTGTCCTACATCGATTACAGGAGTTTTTGATAAGGTATTACGTTACTTTTCAAAGTATGGTCAATAAAACTTTAACATTTTTTGATTGACATAGCATTGTCAAAATCTTTTAAATGGCAAGATCTATTAGTTTTAACATGTCGAATACCAATTAAAGTAGACTTGTTTGAAGGTTTTCCACACCAAGTCGTGAATAAAATAGAAATATACATGTCAATACGGTATTAAGATACTTATTTAAAACTATGACAATGTTAAATAATTTGCTTTAAAACCCAATAAGTATATTTATTGTATTTGCATACAAAATATACAAAGAAGTGATAATCCTGTTTTTATCCAAAAACTGTTTTAAATGGGTTTTACTGTACTATATCTGTTATTTTCATTCGAACTCGTATTTGTAGAAACAAGATTATCAAAACAAGTGAAGATCAGTGAAGTTCTGTGTGAAAATCACCGAATCGATACTCAGGCTTTTGATCCTTACTTAAGAACTGAACATACAAAGGATGAAACATGTGAGACCTGTCTTCACTGTAGCTCCTTTAAGCATTAATTGAACCAAATGTAAAGTACGTAAGATATTGATATGGATGTTTCACCTGGATTTCAACCATCCGACAGTAACACCTATGCTTAAAAATGGGCGTGAGTTGGTCCTTGCAGAATCTTTATATGATACATTGTCTGTAATTCATTGTTTTAAGCGATAATATAGTTATTATGTCCGCTAACCAACCGAAATAGTTGCTAGTAGTCGTCGACACAAAAAATTATTTCTTGATGAAACTTCAATTGCTCTTAATATAAATCTATATTTTGACTAATGCCTCTAATTTTTTTATCGTTTTTCATACATTATACACCCTTGTTTTACAGTGACAAAAAATGTCCATGAAATGCATGCACTATTTTCCCTTGAAACTGAGCGACCATTAATCTGTCAATCGTTTTAGATTTGACTGATGACAATGATTTTTGTCACGTGAGAAATATAGGCTTTTGAAACTCGATTTTGTTTTAACAGCATTTTTATAGTGCGTACATGATATTTCGAAATTGAAAATGGAACCATATACAAGTGCATATGACAGACAAATATTATTTAGCAATACAAATATAATCATTAATACCGAGAAGCCTAAGAAGAACTCCACGTGTGATTCATGTGTGGGAAAATATACATTAAAACCGTTGGTTTTGCTTTAACACATATTTTTTCTAATATGGTATACGTTGTAAATTTTTCTAAGAAGTAAACATCTATGATACTGACAGATTCTGAATGAGCTGGATAAACATCACATATACACCATTGCACATTACCCAAACAAACACAAATGCGAGAGATAAGCACTTGTATTTTAAAGGGGAAAACTACAAATTTATTCCTTAACAACAAAAAAACAAACAATTTGGAATAACTTTGTCCTGCAAAATTATGTTAATATTTATTTAATGAATAAGAAATAATATACATCTAGGTTTAGTTGTATATAACGAAGTCTTTAGAAAATGTAAACAAATGTTTTTACAAAGTTTTATAACCTTTAGTTTAAATTTTCTGTTTATGTTAATTCTTTCTTTGAGACGAGTAGACCGGATATTTTTCTTTCATAACGAACTTATATTTAATGAAAAATATTTTTTTTTACCAGTGCATTGCAAAATATATCCCTAAACTCGTACAACGGTTGACTTTTCAAAAAGAAATTAATTGAACTAACAAGAAACTTATTGTAGAATGAGCTTTAGATAAAAGATTGAAGGCAAAGCATTTAAATACCTGATTGGAAGGAAAAGCTTAAGCAAGTTAATTATCTTTTCAAACGAAATTTAAATAGCAATAATTTTGACCCTGAAAGATTATTTCAAGTTGTTAACGATCGAAGAGTAAATACGGTTTGTCAATTACGGTCAAAATATATAATACTTTCCTTGGACTTAATGCGAAACGTAAATACCTGAAAAACCTACCAGGTGTATAAAGATAAGAAAACTAAGTCATTTTAAAATAGTAAAAAAAAGGAATCTAAAGCACTACACACGGAAGTAATGTTTTTACAACCAGAGGCCATCAATTTGGTATAACTTGACAAATGACCATGAAAGAAAAAGTCACGACGGTTAAGTATTAAGATCGGATCGAAGAGGCAATTAAGGGGGTAGACCTGGGGTATGGAAGACAACTCTTAGAAATGTTTTGGAAGTCATTTGTGCGTTTTAACCTAGCAGTAATTGAAACAACGATCAAGCATTTATGTTGTTTACATTTGACTTTGAGAATGATGCAAGGAGAGCTAGGACAATTGGACAAGTTAGACGCCACCAAGCATTAAATTAAGGAGCTATATTTTTTAAAGCTTCAATAATCAAAAGGTGAAAAGGTAGAACATTACCTTTCATGTACTGAAGAGTAATTGGAACGACGTAGTGTCTTGACATCATTTAGATAAAATCTTGGAAGTTTTTGGAAAAATTGATTGAATAATGAAGTTATAAGGTTTTAGTGCATTATTGTTTGTTAATAGGCTGTACTTTACTGTATGTCTTTGGTTTTTAAATACAAACGGCAATATTCTAGAAGATATAATCTGAACATCCATCCTTGTAGTCCAAATAATTATGACGTCTTGAAAGGCTATTTTATTTTTTTGCTTTGACGCCTTACAGCGACGTCATAACGCCGAACTCATTTTTATCTCACCGGGCCCGAAGGGCCCCATGTGAGCTTATGCCATCACTTGGCGTCCGTCGTCGTCTGTCGTCGTCTGTCGTCGTCGTCGTCTGTCGTCGTAAACTATTTCAAAAATCTTCTCCTCTGAAACTACTGGGCCAATTGGGTTGCTGCCACCGAATTGGTAGTTTTAACAAAATTTTGCAGTTTTTTGTTATTATTTTGAATATTATTATAGATATATATAAACTGTAAGCAGCAATAATGTTCAGCAAAGTAAGATCTACAAAAAAGTTGATATGACCATAATTGTCAATTGACCCCTTAAGGAGTTATTGCCCTTTAAAGACAATTTTACACAATTTGTTCAAGTTTGCTAACATTTAAAAATCTTCTCCTCTGAAACTACTGGGCCAATTACCTTCAAACTTTAACTAAATGTTTCTTAGGGTATCTTGTTTATAAATTGTATCCAAAGTTTGTATCCATCGACAAACATGGCCGCCATGGCTAAAAATAGAACATAAGGGTCAAATGCAGTTTTTGGCTTATATCTCAAAAACTAAATCTTTTAGAGCAAATGTGACATGGGGTAAAATTGTTTAATTGGTCAAGATCTATCGTCTCTAAAATTTTCAGACGAATCAAACAACCCATTGTTGGGTTGCTGCCACCGAATTGGTAGTTTTAACAAAAATTTTGCAGTTTTTTGTTATTATTTTAATATTATTATAGACATGTATAAACTGTAAGCAGCAATAATGTTCAGCAAAGTAAGATCGATCTACAAAAAAGTTGATATGACCATAATTGTCAATTGACCCCTTAAGGAGTTATTGCCCTTTAAAGACAATTTTACACAATTTGTTCATCAAGTTTGCTAACATTTAAAAATCTTCTCTGAAACTACTGGGCCAATTACCTTCAAACTTTAACTAAATGTTCCTTAGGGTATCTTGTTTATAAATTGTATCCAAAGTTTGTATCCATCGACAAACATGGCCGCCATGGCTAAAATTAGAACATAAGTGTCAAATGCAGTTTTTGGCTTATATCTCAAAAACTAAATCTTTTAGAGCAAATGTGACATGGGGTAAAATTGTTTAATTGGTCAAGATCTATCGGCCCTGAAATTATCAGACGAACCGAACAACCCATTGTTGGGTTGTTGCCACCGAATTGGCAGTTTTAACAAAATTTTGCAGTTTTTTGTTATTATTTTGAATATTATTATAGATATATATAAACTGTAAGCAGCAATAATGTTCAGCAAAGTAAGATCGATCTACAAAAAAGTTGATATGACCAAAATTGTCAATTGACCCCTTAAGGAGTTATTGCCCTCTAAAGACAATTTTACACAATTTGTTCATCAAGTTTGCGAACATTTAAAAATCTTCTCTGAAATACAGGTGAGCAATTCAGGCTCTTGAGAGCCTCTTGTTTCAGTTGGACTTTGAGAGAGAATTTACTGCTTTATTAAAGCGTTTAGCTGATTGCTACTATAGGGAAAATAGTACTATTACATTTTCCAAGCATTAGGTTGGCCTTTTGTGTACCCAAGGTAGGTGAAGGAAGTCAACTTAGGAGCACTGTGATTGGATGTAAGGGTACAATATATATTTTTTTATTGATCTATGAATAACTGCAGTGTGTATATTTACAATATAAATTTTGAAACCCATTGAAATATTTTCTAGAGAATTATTCGAAAAGACTTCCAGAATTTCATAAATTTGGTGTAAAATGACGGTGGGCATGGATAACATAAACAAGCTCCGTTGGAAGTTGGTCATAATACTATTTGGCTTCAATTTTTAAAACAGAATAATAAAGAATTAACTAACACCACACATAACTGTTTTGTCCAGGTTTTTATTATAAAAAGTGGTTAATTTAGAAAATGTTAGTATGGTCGCCTATGTCAGAATAAATAGTACCGTTTTCCCTTTAGGGAAAACGGTACTATTACATTTTCCCAGCATTAGGTTGGCCTTTTGTGTACCCAAGGCAGGTGAAGGAAGTCAACTTAGGAGCACTGTGATTGGATGTAAGGGTACAATATATATTTTTTTAATTATCTATGAATAACTGCAGTGTGTATATTTACAATATAAATTTTGAAACCTATTGAAATATTTTCTAGAGAATTATTCGAAAAGACTTCCAAAATTTCATAAATTTGGTGTAAAATGACGGTGGGCATGGATAACATAAACAAGCTCCGTTGGAAGTGGGTCA